TCATTTTCTTACTTTAAAACCTTCTCTGGCTCCTGGCTGCCCAGAGAATGTTTCCAAAATTAGTTTCAAAGTATTCAGAGTCCATTTTAAGCTCATCCCAGTTTATCTGCATCCCCTTCACACCATCCTTATAGATCAAATACTCCTATCTGTGTACTCACCATACCTTCTAATTTCCTACTTGTGTGCAGCTCTCATCTTTCAAACATCAAACATTCTCCACCTATTATTATTTTTAAGTAAACTCTACCCCCAATGTGGGGCTCAAACTCACAACTCCAAGATCAAGAGTCGCATAATCTACCAACTGAGCCAGCCAGGTGCCCCTCCACCTGTCATTTTAGAAAGGGTCACCCTCTTCCACTTTCCTTTTAGGCTAAACTTCCATATTCCCATTTCCACTATTCAACTACTGGAGGCATTCAGAGGCTGGTAAAAACAATAGGCAGTTACTGTGAGATAGCACAAAAGACACAACACAAACATGCTGTCACACACTTAAAAACAGCAATAGGAAAAAAAACAGCTTAGAGGCTAAAGATACTTTAAGACATTGGAAAGCAGAGGGTATGTATGTGTAAAAGGAAAATAATAGTCTTAAAACCTTTCTGAAACAAAGCCTTATAAAAATCTTTCTTTGGAACAGATGAATGTCAAACCAGATAGTAAGTTGTTTTTGTTTTTTTTAATGTTTATTTATTTTTAAGAGAGAGAGGGAGGGAGAGCACACACACAAGGAGGGGAGGAACAGAGAGAGAGGGAGACAGGGAATCTCAAGCAGACTCCATGCTGTCAGCATAAAGCCTGACTCAGGGCTCGATCCCACCAACTGTGAGATCATGCCCTGGGCCCAAACTGGACATTTAACTGACTGAGCCACCCAGGTGCCCCTAGGTAGTAAGTTCATACCGAGATGTACCCTCAAAAGGAACAACAATGATGTACAAAAACAGACACTTAGATCAGTGGAACAGAACAGACAACCCAGAAATGGACCCACAAACGTATGGCCAACTAATCTTTGACAAAGCAGGAAAAGACTATCCAATGGAATAAAGACAGTCTCTTCAGCAAGTGGTGCTGGGAAAACTGGACAGTGACATGCAGAAGAACGAACCTGGACCACTTTCTTACACTGTACACAAAAATAAACTAAAAATGGATGAAAGACTAAATGTAAGACAGGAAGCCATCAAAATCCTCGAGGAGAAAGCAGGCAAAAACCTCTTTGACCTCGGCTGCAACAACTTCGTACTCAACACGTCTCTGGAAGCAAGGGAAACAACAAAAATGAACTACTGGGACCTCATCAAAATAAAAAGTTTCTTCTGCACAGTGAAGGAAACAATCAGCAAAACTAAAAGGCAACTGACGGAATAGGAGAAATTATTTGCAAACGACATATCAGATAAAGGATTAGTATCAAAATCTATAAAGAACTTATCAAACTCAACACCCAAAAACCAAATAATCCAGTGAAGAAATGGGCTAAAGACATGAATAGACACTTCTCCAAGAAGACATCCAGATGGCCAACCAACATATGAAAAAATGTTCAACATCACTCATCATCAGGGAAATACAAATCAAAACCACAATGAGATACCACCTCACACCTGTCAGAATGGATAATATTAACAACTCAGGCAACAACAGATGTTGGCGAGGATGTGGAGAAAAAGGATCTCTTTTGCCCTGCTGGTGGGAATGCAAACTGGTACGGACACTCTGGAAAACAGTATGGAGGTTCCTCAAAAAAATCAGAAATAGAACTACCTTAGGACCGAGCAATTACACTACTAGGTATTTACCAAAGGGATATAGGTATGCTGTTTCAAAGGGGCACATGCACCCCAATGTTTACAGCAGCACTATCAACAATACCCAAAGTATGGAAAGAGCCCCCAAAACCATCAATGGATGAATGGATAAAGATGTGGTATATGGAGTATTACTCAGCAGTCAAAAATGAAATCTTACTATTTGCAACTATATGGATGGAACTGGAGGATATTATGCTAAGCAAAATTAGTCAGAGGAAGGCAAATATCATATGACTTGATTCATATGAGGACTTTAAGATACAGAACAGATGAACATAAGGGAAGGAAAGCAAAAATAATATAAAAACAAGGAGGGGGAAAAAACATAAGAGACTTAAATATAGAGAACACAGGGTTGCTGGAGGGGTTGAGGAAGGGGGGATGGGCTAAATGGGTAAAGGCATTAAGGAATCTACTCCTGAAATCATTGTTGCACTATATGCTAACTTGGATATAAATTAAAAAATAAACTAAAAAAAATAAACTATTTAAAAAAAGGACAATGACTTTTCATATTTTTCAAATTCTTATTTTTATCAAAATATTACATGCTTATCAGTTGAAAAGTAAAAAAATGCTGAAAAGGCTTTTAATTAAATATAGTCATCCTTTCCTCCACCTTCCTATCCTCATGTAATTCCCCAGCAGTATCCACTTTCAACCATTTTGGCCCTGTTTTTTAATATATATGTCAGCATTTTATTTATTTATTTATCTATTTATTTATTTATTTATTCATTCATTCATTCATTCATTCATTCATTTTTAATGTTTTTTATTTTTGAGAGAGACAGAATGTGAGTGGGTTGGGGCAGAGAGAGAGGGAGGCACAGAATCTGAAGCAGGCTCCAGGCTCCGAGCTGCCAGCAC